CAAAAGCGCAAAACCTAACCCCGGTATTTTAACCTTTTGGGAATATGAAATTTTAGTTTAGAAAAACACGTTTTTTGGAGATCTGGAGATTTTTTCGAGATAAAAGGAATTTTTGAAACTTCCGGCCAGAGCGCGTTCATTTTCAGCGGCTCCTGGCCGATGGTGAGGGCTGCTATCGTGGCGGGCTGCTATCCGGGTGTCGGTTACGTTCGTATCGGCAACCGCCTGAAGAAGATACGCACTACCGTCGATCAGAATTGCGGCCTGCACACGTCGTCGTGCATTCGACGTCAGGTATACAACGTTTTCAGCTCTACTTCATATTTTTAATTGGAAAATTGATTTTGTTAATTGATTAAAATCTCATTTTAAAATTTTAAAATTTTAAAATTTGTGTTCCCAGTACGGTCCCATAGGAACATCTAAAACCATTTTATAGCTTTTACAAAATGTTTAAATATAAGAAACTCATAAAATTGGCTAACAGTCCAGTCCAGTTTTTGACGAACCATCTAGTATATGATCTCTTTTTCTTTAGTTGATGAATCGGAACACGGACAATCAGCGCAACGGCGAACCCAAGGAAGAGCCCCACATCGAATACGTCGTCTTCCAAGAGCTCTCCCGCATGGAGGGACAATCATTGACGGTGAGGAATGAAGATTCAAATATATCATTTTGTATTAGTTGCGAACGGTGACTGTCGTGCCGCCACTCGCCATGCTGCTCTTCTCTGGAACAATGCGCCTGAAAAAGGCCACGTTTGACTATTTCAAAATTGGTGCGTTTTGTTTGGGTGCTTTTGCATTATCGGGAGGATGGATCTTTTCTTTAACGTCGAATTTGTCTGATGTGAATAGTGGTATTCAGCCGTTAGCCGTAAAAGATAGATTGTTCATAAAAAACATTCTTGTGCATTCTTGGACCTGATGAAACTCCCTTCCCCCTGCTAATGCCAAAGAACCCGCGTCATAATTTCAATTCAGACGCCGAGCACGACGTCGAGGAACTGGGCAGTGATGAGGAACAAGAGGCGGCAATCTACCCGGCGCTGTCCATCCTTGAGCTCGACGATTGGTTCGGGGCAAAGGGCAGGCGAGCGGTGAGCTTTGGTGTTTTTATTGACTTATTTTTGGGCGTTCAGCACCTCCGGCGCGTCGTTCAACTTCGATTCCGGATCATGGATTACTTCCTGAAGGTGATGGAACAGCCGAAGCTGCTCTACACTCGTAAATACGATGTAAGACAAATATAAAGCAATATGTAAATTTTGGACTTTTTGGCAACAGATGTAAAATTAACAATAAAAGGCCAGAGAAGATTTTCAATTCTATTCTGAATTTTTATATATTTTTATTTTCAGGACTTGTTGAAGACGATCCGGACGTGTAAGAGGTCGACCACGAAAGCCACCACTTCAACCCGTACGTATTTTGCTTCGTCAAAGACGTTTTGTTTAAGGAATTTCATCACTGCCTGTCTGGAAGGTGAATGAACAAGAGCGAGCGCATAACTTGCCGCTTGATCTGGAGCAGGTACTATTTTTTAGATTTCTGGAAATCAGCTTCAGACGAAAAACACGCAGTCGTCGCATCGCAATCAAGCCTCTCCTGGGATGAGGTGCTTTTCTACAGCTCCCAAACTTTGGTTTTAAAGGGATAATGACGGCATAAGTCAATCGATTACGCACGCGAAAGAAAATAGCTTCGCGCCTCTCCCTCGGCGCGCCCTCTGCCATGTTGGCTATTTGCCAAAAAATTTAACCCCCTCACAAAGGGAGTTCAACAGATGCCGTCCTTATCTCTCTAAGTTAAAGAGATGAGGACGGCATCTGGGGAACCCGCAGAGAAACTCCCCAAGGGGAGAGAGGGTTCTACGGCCGCACGGCGAGAGAAGGGACGCCCCGGGAGAGGCGCAGAGACATTTTCTTTCCCGCGCATGGTCGATTGACCTCCCCCCACATCTCCCTTTAAGCAAAACTTTATAACTGGAAACAAACACTTAAACTATACCTTCCATTTAGAATCCGAAGGCGACCGTGGTGAAGGTGTTCGCTCAGCAGCGACGAGCGCAACAAGAAGAAGTCAAGGCCAAGCGAGTCGTGCAGCCGGAAAGCGCCGCCTGATGCCCATCTTCGCCACCGACGCGCCAGCAGAGCGTCTTCTTCTCGAAAACGGATAGCCGTGACCGCGACCCGCCAAGATCCTATCGCGGTACGTTTATTGCTTTCTAGAAAAATTTCTTTAAAAAATTAATTTTAGGTTAAAATTTGAAGTGTGAGCATTTGGCCATTTTTCATACATTTTCATAACTTTCTTAACTCCTTTTTTATATCTAGGGCGATTGTATAAAGTTTTCTAAAAATGGGTATTTAGTTTATAGCGCCTACTACGGAATTATGCCTGAGGCTGTAAAATCCTCCTCCACCCCAATTGCTAAACCAAAAACTCTTTTAGAACCCCCGCGGGCCCCGTATCGACCTCGTGATACGCCGCAAGAACAGCCACCGCCGCCAGTCTCGCACGATGACAACGATGCGCACCGCGGCCCGTCGCTTCGCGGCACTTCGGGACCCCGCGGAATGCGAGGCACCTTCCGGGGCCGTTCAAATGATGTGCGCAACGATGGCGCCAAGCCCTACTACCATCAGTACGACAAATATTCCAAGAGGTTCGGTCGTTTCCGGGTTCAACTAAAATTCTACTAACAAGGGGGGACGTTTTTAGGGTTGACGGGGTTAGCAGGAACTGGAGCAAAGCCGGTTTTTGCGTTAAATTTTGCGCTGATAAAGGTAATTTTCAAACGCGGAACACGTATATTTAAAAAGTGATGAGCTTTTAGGATGCGAAAGCATACTCTCGCGCGCGGAAAGAACTTAAAACCGTCTCTGCTCCACTCCCCTGGGCGCCCTCTGCCCTGTTGGCTACTCGCTAATTTGTTGATGAGGGGAGTCGACTACACTGCCGTCGGCAGCACTTTTAACTTTTTGAATCCAGCTTTTGAAAGCCATTTCGGAACCAGCGCAAAATTCTTGCACTAAGCTAGGGCTTGGACCACTTCCGAACTCCGTGGACAATCAAAAGGTGGCCTTGCAAGGCTAGTTTTTCCTAATTTTGGGTTGTGTTTCAGGAATTCGGGCGGCGCGCAACAGGACAACGCCGTTTCCGGAAATTCGCAGGGCAACAGGTATGAAGGCTTTTTTGTTGTTGCGTAAAATGCTCCTCTTTTAGTCGAGCCCACTATTCGAATAACCATCGCCGCCACGAGCGTCACAAGGATTATGAGGTATGTTTCATTTGTGGCTTAGTTTTGCCAATTTGCTAAGGAAACTTTTCTCTTTTTTCATTTAGGGCTTTACGCATACTGAAAATCTCCCATTTTTGAGATTTCAGATATTTTTCCGTACGGCTCCATAACGAAATATATAATTTTTATCTTATTTTATATGGTTTTTAGACATAAAACTCATCAAATCCTACTATGTATAAAAAAATAGTGTCTGTGTGTTTGTGTGTGTGTGCCACTTTGCATGCAACTTCCGTCAGGGTGTCCGGAGGATATCTCGAGAGGGAAAGGGTTTTAAGCAACTTATGATACGTCATTAGGTGCGTAATGGCGCTGAGATGACTGCACACACATCAGATTTTGCAAATTATGCTATTTTCGACGTTAAGATTAAGTTTTTGTTAGAAAATGGAGCACCCCACTTTGTTAGGAATTAATTGCATATGCCGGAAATGAAGCGAGCCTATGGTACGGGCGGGAGGGAGCGATTTTCTGCGCTTTGTCATCGGCATTCTCGCACACAATTATTATACAAATAAAGGCGGCTATGACACTAGACTGGGGGGCCTGGGTTGAAAAGACGCGAAGCGGCTCTTCAACCCTGGTGACTATAAAATTCCACCGAAAATTTTTGACTTTGTCAAAACGTATGGATTGGCCAAAAAGGCGGAAATGTTCAAAGTTTGTACATTTCAGGGATGTTTCGAACTCGAAAAGTGCTTCAGAGACGCTAGAAAAATAAATTATAAATTATCAGGCGGAAAAACAAGAATTGGTTTCCCCCTGCTAACTCGAAGAACGGAGCCGGATTCCTTCTTTATCTTACCTTATCAAAAATATTGCCGATTTCAGGAGCAACATCCACAAGACCCGCCGCAGAGCTCTTCCTCCACCCGGACATTAAGCGTCAGAATCACGGCTACGACAACTGCACGCCACTCCCAGAGTATGAACATCGATTTAATCACGAATAGTAATATCTTGCCTAGGGACCAACGTATTTACAGCCGCAGCCGCGAAGAGGAGGTGCTCCCCAACGCGCCCGGAGAGGCCGGTGACCGTGACGATGATGAGGAGCCGGAAGTCATCCCCCCACCGCCCGTTCAGAATGCCGAGGACGGTGGCCGAACCAACCAGCGCGCGCCGCGGCCACAAATAACTTCAACAGGGGCAACAAGGGAGGGCGGCGGCCATGTCCGCGAGTTCGGCAACAGCAAACGCGGTTCGTTTTGGCTTACTTTTGTTTTTAAAGATTTAAAAGGCAATCGACTATTTTGCAAAGTTGGGGTGGGGGACAATGAATTTTTCGGTAGGGTCCCATTTTTGGCAATATAAATAGAGAACCACATTACTACATTTCAAAACTTCTAAATAGATGCCTATTAATTCTTTCTACAGTTTTCCTAGTTTACTATTCCTATGGTAAAATTCCCCATCGTTTTATAAAAAAACCGATTTGCCGATCAGATTTTGACATTTTTAACCTTTTACCAAGTCTCGGTTCTTTTTCGCATCATCAGCCAATTTGTTTGTATTAGTCTAAAAATTCCTAGTAAAATAAAAGTAAATAATTGTTAGTGTTGTAGCAAAATGTTCATTTCCATATCTCCTAAATACATATCTCCTAATTCCATATCTCCTAAAGTCATATCTCCTAAAAGTCATATCTCCTAAAAAGTCATATCTCCTAAAGTCATATCTCCTAAAAGTCATTTCTCCTAAAAGTCATATCTCCTAAAAGTCATTTCTCCTAAAAACCTTACTTCAGGAGTTCAGTAGATACAAGCAAAAAAAAATTTGTAATTTTTTTCGGAGCATCTACAAAACCGTCCGCAGGCTTCGAAAAACCCGAACTAAAAACCTCACTTTCCTTTTTATGTTGAGATCGGATAAATATGTTTTAGCTTTTCGCAGGCGCGAAAGCCTGCGGGCGGTTTTGTAGATGTTCCGCAAAAAATTACAAAAATTTTTGCTTGTATCTACTGAATTCTGGAAGTAAGGTTTTAGGAGAAACCAGGGTTGTGCGCCGCCTCGCGCGTCTTTTCAACCCCGGCCCCCGTTCTAGCGTCATAATATGCTTCATTTTGCATAATTCTCGCGAATTCCGATGACAAAAAAATGAAAATCTTTCCCTCCGCCCATTATGTAGGCTCGCGCCATTTCCGGCATATGCTAATTGATTCCTAACAAAGTGGGTGCTCCATCAACTATAATAAAAAAGTAGTGGTGTCTGTGTGTGTGTCTGTCCGGTCCCGAATTCAACTCGAAGGGGAAAGGAGCTAGAGCCAGCTCTCTTCGGATTCGGATAGAGCGTAATCAGAAACCCCCCAAACTGATAAAAAATTATGAAAAAGTTTTAGTTTAAATTATTAAAATTTAACTTTGGAAAGTGGCGCCTTAATAAAACGAGTGGGGGGCCCCTCTCCTGGGAGGCCACGCCCCCTTTCTCTTCGCCCCTCTTCCCCAGGCCCCTTCGCGCGCCCAGATAGCTTTTTAAGTTACTTTAATACTTTTTAATACTTTTAATTATGTTAATTCATTATTTAAATTATTTAAAGCTCTAAAGCCATCGGGAAGGTATTTAGGTAGTTTTTGACGGCATTTTCAGCCATGGGGGTATCTGCTGTGCATCAGGAAGGTATTTTGGTAGTTTTTGGGAAGGGGATTTCGCGCCATGGGGGTATTGATGGAGGGGGAAAGAATGTGGGGGGAGTGGGACATGTAGGGTGGCCCGGAGGCCAGATTTGGTTGCAGTCGCCGAAGGACTGTAACCATCTGGTTTTCTAACAAAAACTTCTAATTTTAACGTCGAAATAGCATAATTTGCAAATTCGATGTGTGTGCAGTCATCTCAGCGCCATTACGTACCTAATGACGTATCATACGTAGCCTAACACCCCTTTCCTTTCGAGATATCCTCCCGATTATTCTGATTTTAGTTGTATGCAAAGTAAAATACACACAATAAACACACAGACACTATTTTTTTATATATAGTAGGATGACTTTTAGAGAAATTTAATTTTTAGGAGATATGACTTTTAGATGACTTTTAGGAGATATGTCTTTAGAGATATGACTTTTAGATATGACTTTTAGGAGATATGACTTAAGGAGATATGGGATAGGAGATATGGACCGGAAATCGTAGCAATATATCTAAATTTTAGCTAGTAAATACTATCTAAGGAAATTTTTATTCTTAATTGAAATTTT